GTGGCCGCTCCCGGCCACCGCAGCCTCCACCTGCTGGGCTCCGGCAATTCTTCCACCTCAACCTTCCAAGTAGCCGGAATTGCAGGCATGCACTACTACGCCCGGCTGATTTTTTTTATTTATTGTAGAGATGAGGTCTCACCAAGTTGGTGACTTTAAGTTGAAATCAATGCTTGACTGTCATTTTGAATATCCTAGAGAAGAGAGACAAGATGGTGACAGAACAGGTCGGAGTATGAGAGTCTCCACAAAAGCGAGTGTCCATCAAGTCTCTCTGCATGAGTGGCTGTATGCTGGTGGGTGAGTGAAAGTCCGTCTGAGGGGAGACATGGGTTCATGCACCCAGGGCTCTCTTCTGGAGGTGACTGTAACCCATCACCATCCTGAAATTGGAGCCCCCAGTGCACAGAGCCATCTGTTGCCTCCTCTCAAGAGAGCCACAAGAATGGCAGAGAACAGCTGCTCCTCACCACCTGGGACCTGGCCCACATCACATGCGGCAGCAGACCAAGCACAAGCAGCAGGAACCATGGAGAAGGCACAGCATGGAAATCTGGAATGGAGTCCTGCCACCAGTGAGGAGACTCTGACTGGCACCATCTTCCCTTTCCCAGGACCAGAGACCTGCATTGCCCCGCCCAGCTCTGTCTAACCCTCCAACCTGGGACACAGAAGCTATCCCCTCATCAGACTCCCAGAGACAGATAGCCCCCCACACACCCTGCAACAGGTACAGACACATAAGATCTGAGTGGGAGACTTGAAAGTAGTGGCAGCAACAGACAAGTCAGGTGAGTCCAGATCTGATCCATCTCCTCCCAGTAGTCCGTGGGGCATCTGACCTACCCTGAAAGCAACCCTATCAGCCTGCGCTGAGAGTGGAGGAAACGAGCTGGAGGCAGGAGCTGCTTTTTAACACAGCGGCAGCAGCTGAAAGAAACCTGGTGTTACAGAAACGGCCACAGAGCAAGTTGTTTTCTTTTGTATGCATGTTTTTTGTTTTAGTTTTTTTCTTCTTTTCTCCTTCTTCCTGTTTTTGTTTATATTTTTGTACTTGCTTTCTGTTATTTTAATGTTTTTCATTTTAGATTTTAGGTTTGTGTATGGGTATTTTTGAGGGAAAATACATCAACGGGAAGGGTTTTGTTTGTTTGAATGATTGTCTGTGTTTGGGGTTTCTTTTTTATTTTTACTGTCTTGTTTGTTGTTGGGAGTGGGCCGTGAAGCATTAGGGATCCAGGCAGGCTGCGGACCCTGAGACAGCTAGGACGAGTTCAGGAGCTGAAGGCTCATTGCCTCTTCCCTTCTTTGCTGATTTGGCACGTTCCACTAGCAGGGACTTTGATGATCTAAGCATGAAGTTCTGAGAGTATGACAGGCATGGCTTACTTTGGGAGTTCATTATTCCCGTTTCTCACAGACTGTGGTTTCGGCTTTAAACTTAACATAATTCAAACTCAGGTCACATTTGGGGGCCTTTAATGGGGTACAAGCTTCTTTAAAGATTTAATAGTATATTTGCAGAATTAGTATATACATACAAAGTGCTGTTTCAACCTTAATAATACGGATGAATGTCTAGAGCTGCGGCCCCTCATTCACCTGGCTTTGTGTCTATGTAAAGGTTTTGTGATTTAATTGCAATCTTTCTTCCTCATGCCCGGGAAAACACCTGGTGGGGGGCGGGGCGCCCCTCCTGCACCTGGCTTGTGTTCACGTGGAAGACTTGTAAGACTGCCTGTGTAAAATCTGGGATAAATACAAGCTGTAAATCCCCAATAAATGGCTTCTGGTCAATTCGTTGAATAGAGGCCCACTTTCTTTCTTTCTCTTTATATCTATCCCTCCTTCTTTCTTTTAATATCTATCCTTATAGAAATGCCGACGTCATCACACCTTCCAAGGGACCCCCTAAATCTCTTTTTGGGGGCTGGCCCCCCCAAAGTTTGTTTCTCTGTTTATTAATTAGTTGGTACTCCTGCCTATTTTCCCGCTTCTCTCTCTCCCCCTTCTTTTCGTCTTCCTCCTTCCTTTTTCCATTCTTTTCCTTGTTCTTATCTCATTTTGCTTTCAGGGGGCAAACATACACCTCCTCCCCACCACTGCCTGGACAGATTATAAGGCAGTGGGAAGTGGGCTCCAGGGGGCCCACACCTGTCAGCGGATACTGGGATCGGCAGATAGCTTCTGAATCACAGCTCCTCACTTAATTAAATCT